GTCACCATTCCCTTGGGACATCAAGCTGGGACACACTCATCTTTTTCTCTCCCCTTTCCCATGTCCCCATCTCCACTTCCCCCAGTTAGTTCCTGAGTTCTATGATTCTGTATCTGAAATATTACTGCATTTGTCCTACACCCTCCTTTCCCACTGACACTCCTTTAGCTCAGATCTGTTGAAAGTTTCCTGGGTGCTCCAGTTTTTCTAGTTTTCTGACCATAGAAAACACCTATGTAAGGTCAGGAGTTCTAGACTAGCCTGGTCAATAGTGAGACCCATTTCTACAAAAAATAGAAAAATTAGCCAGGAGTGGTGGCTCGAGTGCAGTCCCAACTACTCAGGAGGCTGAGGCAGGATTGCTTGAGCCCAGGAGTTTGAGGTTGCAGTGAGCTATGATGATGCCACAGCACTCTAGCCTGGGCAACAGAGTGAGACTCTGTCTTAAAAAATAAATAAACAAACAAACAAACAAAAACAAAATAAAAAAACACCTATGTAAAAAACTCAGGCAATAAAGAAAAGTCTATTTGTAGCCTAGGACTGGATATCTATAGTCAGGGCCAATTATTGCAAGGAGTGTATGTCTAGGTTTAGGAAAGTCTCCCAAGAATAAGTTAGGGCGTAAACCTGAATAAGTAAGTAGGATAATTATATGACTAGGAGAGAAGAGGGAACTGGGCTAAAAAAGAAGAGAAACTGGACATAATATTTTTAGTAACTCCACAGAAAGTGTACATGTTTGGTAGTGGGAAATTGGGTAGGGTTTTGCAAATTTGGAAATAGGAAGGGAGGAGCTTGCAGGTAATGGGGTACAGCAGAAGCAGAAATGCCCCCATGTGAAATAGAATGGGTTTAAAGAGAGTCAAGGAACAGAGACAATTTTGGCAACCTCCACTTTCGTAAACTTTGATAAATTAAACAGTTGATCTGGATGGCTAGTGTGAGAGAAGAGACATGAAGGCATCAATACCAAGTGAGTCTGGGCTACACTGGCTGAGTCCCACAGCACATGGGGATGGTCAGGTTGTTTAGATGGCTCTTAGCCAACAGCCTCTGAGTTAATCTCCTTGCACTTGACTTTCCCCATTCAATCTCTCCTACACATGTTAACAGGTTAATTTCAGTGAATCTTAGCTCTGGCCTGTTGCCTCTCAACTAAAAAATTTCGCTGGCTTCCTAAGGATTCAAGAGTAAAATCCCAACACATTTTGGAACAGAAGACCTGGATCCAAATACTGGTTCGGACAACCGTGTATGGGCCGTTGGCCAAGTTACTTTAATTCTCAGAGTCAGTTTTGTATCTGTAAAATGTAGACGATACTCAATTTCAAACAGCTGCTGTAAGAGACAAATAAGACACCACGTCTTGTACACAGTACCTCACTCGATAATTACCTACTTTCTTTACTTCATGACCCACTTCAGCTTACTTTCTAACATCACTGTTGTCAGTATTTCTCTTCATGCACCATTTGTTCTAACCAAAAAGAATTGTTCACTTCCTTGGTATCAGTCCAGATTTTTCAGAGATCTTTACCTGGGTTTGCTTGCCATTTCATTCTATTCATCAAGAAAATACTCACTAAATGTCTGTTATGTGCCAGGTGCACTTCCAGGACCTGAGGATCTTAAAGTGAACAATTTAGACACAGTTTTCCTTCTAGATCGTAGCCCTTCTCCATGGATTTTTTTTTTTTTTGAGGCAGAATCTCATTCTGTCGCCCTCGGTAGGATGAAGTGACATCATCATAGCTCACAGCAACCTTAAACTCCTGCGCTCAAGTGATCCTCCTGCCTCAGCCTCCCAGAGTGCTAGGATTACAGGTGTGAGTCACTGCACCCAGCCTTTCCATGGACTTCTGTTTTCCTATACACACTGAAATTCTGTCTTTCAAAATTTAACACAAATGCTACCTCATTCATACATTCATTCAACAAATACTTGCTGAACACTGTGTACAGAGTGCTGGCTTAGGCAGTAAGGACACAATTGTGAAAAAGATACCATTCATTCAGCATGTGGTCTGCTGGGAACACAGACAAGAGGCTAATATGAGGGTGCCATGTATAAGCACCCAAGAGGAGGTGATACTTCCCCAAGTTTCTCGTATCACAACACACATAGAAAGAGATTTCTCCTGACTGGAGGTGACTGGCCAGAATGTTTCTCTGCCATAGGCCCTGCTGTCCCAAGGACTGAGGGGAACCGCTGTCTCAGCATACCTGTACTCCACTCACGGAGTTCTTTTTGGCCTGGTCTAAGCTCGGACCTGAAGGATAAGAAAATGATAAGTAAGAGATATTCAAAGTCCTTCAATCATTCATTTAAGGAGTATTTCTTAAGCACCTACTGTGTGCTAGACACTGTGCCAAGGGCTAGGAATACAACAGAGAACACGGAACCTGCCCTTAAGAAGAAAATGGCTAGGCAATTACAACACTGTAAGTGTTCTGATAGAGATAAGCTCCGAGAGTTATGGGATCGCAGAGGGTTATCTTACCCAAGTTTGAGAGGTCAGAGATTTCTAGGGTGGTAAAATATAAGTTCAGACCTTCAAGTAGATGGTGGGATTGGGAGGTAGGAAAGACATTCCAGGGAGAAGGGAGTATGGTAGTGGACCAGGAAGTGAGGTAATCGTGACACATCTTCTTTGACTATGTCCATAAACCCTACATTCAATATGCCACCTTCTTTCACCCCTCTGTGCTTTGCACATGCTCCCCTTCCCTGTCTGCCTAACTCATGCTTTGAGAGCCAGCTCAAAGGTCACTGTCTTTGTAAAAGACTTCCCCCGGCAAGATTAGTCATTCCCTGCTCTCAGCTTTTGCAGTGCTTATACGTGAGCCAAAAATCTAGGCACATTTTCTCACATTGAATTCTTTTTCTGATATGTAAATTAATTTTATTAGAAGCTGTAGTTGTGAAAATTAAATTTTCTTTATTAATTCAACAAGCTGCCTTTAATAAAAGGAAAAATAGAGAAAACAGCCAAATATTATAGATTATCTGTGTCATTACTTTTATTATTCCTCTACTATCAAAATTGACGGCAATGTTGTATATATACTAAAGAATTCATATTGTTAAAAAAAACTATTCACTTAGATTTTTGCTACCATCTCTATGCTAGGCTCTGAATATTTATTATGATTACGATTTTTTTAAAAACTTTTAACAGTCACTCATTAACTTTCTAAGTAGTCTTATTGGTAATTTTTATAATCTCTTTATTTGGGTCCAGCTCCTTCATCTTGTGTGACTTTTTCAAGTAAATGACTCCTCTCCCCTCGTACACGTTGAGTATCACCTAAAAGTGTGTCTTGGCAGATGCTCAGTCCTGAAACCCTACTTTCATCTACTGCTTTCACCTTTGAACCTGCCCTGATCCCTCCTGAAACTATTGATCCTATGGGCCTGATTATGAACTTGGCTCTTCTGATAATGCTTCTGGGATTCTCTGCGTTGGAACCTTGGCTAATGTCTCCCCTGACTGGCAGAGTACCCAGACATTATTAGTGCTGATGAAAATTTGGATTTAAGCAATGGTTGAAATTAGTGTAAGAACGCAAGCCTTTGGATCTGAAACTGTGGTTGTAAGATCTAATTTCTGATTCCTTTGCTACCAGCTCCATTCTAGAGTAATCAAGCTTCTAAGGGAAATTTCTTGATGAATCACTGTAAATTACAAAAGTGAGACTGTTTCTTTATTTGATTTCCCATCAGAACCATGTATGTATGACTACCATTAGGTACCTACAACCTTAATATAAATTATCATGATTTTAAAAGCCCTTTATTTTAAAAAAGTTCATTTTCTTTGTTTACATTTAATACTAAAATGCAATGTTATGATTTAAAAGCTACCTACTCACCACACAAAAACAGTAACAAAAGCATTACTTTTCTTTTGTAGTCAGGGATTCACCTATGCTCTAATCTGTGGAATTCTCCTTGATCTCCTCAAGCCTCTTTTCCGGATTCCCACTATTTATTTCCCGGCTCTCCTGCTCTCTTCCTTCCCCACTGCTGTAGTTTAAGCTCTCATCATCCTCCATTTCTAATTTAAAAAAAAGGCGGACCCCCATAATATGCTGAAATAAAAAAAAAAAAGGCGGGGGGGAATCTCCTAATTGGTTTCTTACCCATCCAACTGTTCAGCATGAGATTTCTAAAATGCAAATCTTTGGGATGACTCTCAGTTGCCCACAGAATAAAGCCCTGACTCTTTGATTTCCTATGTAAGCCCTGGCAAGACCAGGCCCCTGTCCTTTTCTCGGGACATTTTCCATCTCGCCCCTGAAGTCCAAGCAATACCCTACTGCGTGCTGTAAATCCCCTGTCTGGAGGCAGGGGATTTGAGGGCAGTTGACCAGGAGATTTCTAATCAGTCATGAAGTCAAGAGCTCACATCAGAGGCAGAGAATGGGATGCCTCAAGCTTGCTCTCAAAGTACACGTTTTTCCAGTCGTAAGTAGTTCCCGTTTTGGTGATCTTGTGATCTCCTCTCGAGCAGAACCGTTCAGACGACCTAATTCCAGTGTCTTCTTGCCTCACAGCATTTCACATCAGAACGACTTGTGTCTTTAATCCTCTGTTTTTCTGCTTCTGAATTTACCTCGGCCCGGGAAGAGGGCTGGAGAACTCTTTCTCACAGTTCAATATTCACCCAGACGTGCCCTGTCTAGGAAACTCTCTTTCCCGGCTCGCCCGCCCCGCCTCCCCACGTTGCCTCTGCAGCCTGGCGGGCCTCTCAGGTCCACGGCAGCCCGCAGGCCGCAGTGGGCCGCCCGGGGAGCCGAGCCGGCGCGAGGCCCAGGGCGGTACGCGGCGCGCTGCGGGAGCCCCACGTCCAGGCCCGCAGGGAAAGGGTCCGGAGCCCTCCTCCCGGGTCGCTGGCGCAGAGCCGCCTCGGGTCACGTGACACGCCGATGGTCACGCGGGCGCCGCTCACCTGACCAGGGCCTCACGTGGCCCAGCCCGCTGGGACGGAGGTGACCGGCGGGCCATGGCAGGCCCCAGGCTTTGGTTTTCGCTGCTGCTGGCGGCGGCGTTCGCGGAGCCGGCGACGGCCCTGTGGCCCTGGCCCCAATACATCCAGACCTCCGACCGGCGCTACGTCCTCTATCCGAACAACTTCCAATTCCAGTACCACGTCAGTTCGGCCGCGCAGCCCGGCTGCTCCGTCCTCGACGAGGCCTTCCAGCGCTACCGCGACCTGCTCTTCGGTTCCGGGTCTTGGCCCCGACCGAACCTCACAGGTTAGTTGGACCTGCCCCGCCTCGTTCCCAAGCCCTGAGAGAGCCTGCCCCGGGCAGCTCCCCCAAACTTCCTGAGACGCCTTCCTTTGGACTTGTGCCCCACCCGTTGATTATGTGCACGCCACCTCCTCCTGCCTTTTTTTCTCTAGCTGTCGTCTCAGCCTCCCCAAGGTTTAGTTTTCCTCCTCCATTCACTGCTTCACCGGGCTGACTTCTGGGGCCAGATTCATTTGGAATCCTTTCCTCGGGCTATGTTAGGTTTTCATTCAAAAGTACCTACTGTAGGACTTACAGGATATCAAATTATTGAAAATACTGTGCCAGCAGACATCTAAGGTGACCCTTCTGACAATGTCCAAGGGACACAGGGTCCTTGTGAGGCTGTGACTAGGGCTGGGTAGAGGAGACGAGTGAAAACACTCAAAATTGGTGCGAAATAATGATACGAGAACATATGCAAAATAACATAAAAGTATCTGGCACATGGCATGTTCAGTAAATGTTTAAACTTTAAGAGAAATAGAACATTTCCATAAGGAAATGAGTTGGCAGCAGCCACTTAGAATGAAAGGCTAGATGTAAGTAGCCAGGTCTGAAAAGAGAATATTCCAGGCAGGAAGAAGCAGTTGAGCAGAGGCACAAAGAGTTTATCATTGAGCTCAAAGTTGTGGCCTGGTGTGTGTGATGAGGGTGGGAACTGGGGAGTGATGAGGCTGGTGAAAGTGTGGGGTTGGAATGAGGAGTCAGGCGTGCTTTGAACATTGGTTTCACATAAAATGGAAGGGACTAGCAATTTTCTTTTAGGCAACTATGTAATAATGATACCGAAAATTGTGTTTGTGGATAATTATTCCACAACCAATTTATGATTCTAGTCAGCAATGCAAAGAAATAAAATTCTACTTTATGGGCTTAAAATTTAGAGTTTTCTTGATAATCTCCTGGAATCTAGCTCTCTGATTATATTGTATAGGTGTTAGGGCCATATAGTAACATTGTTTTGTATGATATTTCAAATGTGCTTAAGCCACTTTCACAAAAGTTCTCATTTGATATATAGAATTAAAAGTATTTAAACAGATGGCATTCAGGGAACAACAGATAATTTAGAGAAAGAGGTAGACTCTTGGCATCAAGGTAGTTCTTAACTGGTAAGATGCATTAGGCTGAAGAGGATAAGAGGTCTGTTGAGTGTGGTAGATCACATATTTTTCTGAATCTTTCATGACAAGTTATTGAGTGCCTTACACATATTGGCACTCAGAATATTTTATTTTGGTTAGAGAACAATTAGAGCTTGGCTTATGCAAAAAGAGATCCTTCATCTAATTGGTATTTGCTAATCCCAGTGCTGGGTACTCTGGAGGTTATAAGAAAAGTCTAAGATGTAGGCCCAAAGCTCTACAGTTCAGCTGGTAAAATATGAAGCGGAAGTACACAGTGTATTCTGAAATGCTCAAAAGATAAGTAGGGTATTTACTACTATTGTATAAATGAGGGTAATTCCTATACTTCTAAATTAAGTCTTCACCTCCATTGCTATAGTTTAATCAAGTAAATAGGAATGTGGATATTATCTGACAATGGGGTGCTATAAATTCCCTAATGAAAGAGATTTAGAGCCAGATTAGAAACTCAGTAAGATGCTTATTTCAATTTATTACTACCTTCCTGTGAATGAATTTGCTTTATTGGTTGAGAGTTCTTGTCCATTGAGAAATAATGAAGACTGGGTTGGGTCTTCATTATTACATTACCAAAGACTTACAAATATTTTCTTTTTCTATTGTTCTTCCCTTTGGTATCCTCTCTTTGGAACATAGTTTCCTGTGGAGGCTTTCAGGTGACTTTGAGCTATAATTCTATTTCTGCAGACACAAGGACGAAGCAACTGAAGGGAAAGCAATATCAACAAGGCCCAAAGCAGAGTATATTTCTTTATGGTCTGATTTTAGTAAAGAAAGCAACCTCTGCATGTTACGTCTTAACTAACAGATTTCCATTCTCTTCCTCCAAATAACTCATTTGTAGGCTCTGGGCTAGTGTTTTTCTCCATGCAGTACAACTCTGGTTTGGATCTGAACCTGGAACTCAACGGAATTCATATTATCCTTTTCTGACAAACAAGTCTGGTATTGTGGTTCAGCTCTACTTTGAATTTACCTTCAAGGGTTAGCTGTAGTCCCACCAGTTGCTAAATGGTGTGTGGAGGTGTTTGGTATTTGCCACCTATCTTTGTCATTGAGAGGTATTTCCCTTGAGAGGGTGTGTGTTGCATGTTGTTGAACTTGTTAAATGGAATTATTTTAGGATCTAGACACTTGAATGAAGCTAGTTCTCTGATTATTAAGCCACATCCTGTTTGCAAATTAAAGACTTGTTTATTTGGAATGGCACCATCTAAGGTTGCTCCAGATACCTGTGTAGTATCTGGAGCATGGTGCTTGATGGAGCTGATAAAGTCTGAATTTTCCAGATAAAATGGAAGGTCTAATTATGCCATTTGTCTGCATTCTTTTCTTTTCCTGAAACTGGTTGATTGAAGCTGTAGTACTTTATGGGTATTGTAAGGTTCCCATCTTGGTCTGAATTTCATATACACATCCCTGTGAGTTACTTAGAATGCCATGGTCCCAGAACTCAATAATCCCTGCCCCCTTCTTCAGCCCTTTTATACGAGAATGGAAGTAAGATTATTATATGACTATCTGGATCCTTCTGCAGCCATTATCAATATTTGATTTCCTCATCCTCAGATATTAAACAAGTGACTAAGTTAATAAGTGGCATAGTTCATTTTTTTTTTTCTTTTTTTTGAGACAGAGTCTTGTTCTATTGCCTGGGCTAGAGTACGTGGCATCAGCCTAGCTCACAGCAACCTCAAACTCCTGGGCTCAAGCGATCCTCCTGCCTCAACCTTGCGAGTAGCTGGGACTACAGGCGTGTGCCACCATGCCCGGCTAATTTTTTCTATTTTAGTTGCCTAGCTGATTTCTTTCTATTTTTAGTAGAGATGAGGGTCTCGCTCTTCCGGAGGCTGGTCTGGAGCTCCTGACCTCAAGCGATCCTCCTGCCTCGGCCTCCCTGAGTGCTAGGATTACAGGCATGAGCCACCACGCCCTGCCAGTTCATTATAATCTGAATCTTCTAAAATACCTCCTTTGTCCATTCCTCCTATAACTTTGCCTGGAACATCAATATTTAGTAATTATTTGTTGGATATATTAACATTAAAGGGCTACCCTGTATAAAAATTGTACGAAGACTTCATGGTTTTGATTTATTTCTAAGGTCATCATGAAGGAGATGATTTGTAGGTTTTCACTTAGGATTACCTTTCCTTTCAAATTTCAAATGTGGAACATAAGCATGTGATTCCAGTCACACTATAGTGTGATCCCAACTTATAGTCTCAACTCATGCTGCTCTTGAGTCATCACAAAATTGGAGATGTTATAGGAGGGAAACAGATAAGACCGGGCAGCTGGGCTGGGAAGAAAGAGGAATGCTGATTAGTTCTGTCCGCTCTCCCGGGCTGGTGGCTAAGTACACTTTAACCTTTCCCATGGCAAGGGCAAGGCATATTACTCCCAAAGCCTTAGTTGCCAGTAAGTATGTTGTTTTAAAAGCAAAGAAGAAAACAATGTGAGAAGAAAGTTTTGGAGTAGAATGATTTTTCTTGTGAAGGGGTATGTAGAGAAAGGAAGAATACATAAGGAGAAATACAGTGATGAATATATCGTCTCTGGAAAGGACATAGGTAGCAGGACCATAGTTTTCAGCTCAGGGGTAAAATAATTATTGTATGTCATTTTGAATCCCAAAGCCTAGATTAGCTTGGCCCACAGTCTTCACCCAGCCTTTCTTTTCACAGCCCTGGTTTTTTCTTTACTACCTAAATCATGGTGCCTTTCCAGTAGCCCTGGATAGTACCGAGGCCAAGAAGCTCCACTTGATCAAGGTGTATGTGGCTTATGAAAAAGGTGAGTTTTATTTCCTTGCAATACAGTTGCCCCCCTGTCTTGGATACTCTGCGTAAACACTGTTGACATTGGAGGACTCAGGGGCTGGAACGTGATTTATTCAGGAGTCCACCAGAGAATTTTTATAAATCTCTTGTTTAACTATGTGCCTTCAGGCTAATTGCCTAATTTCCAAGCTGTTGCTGTTGCTGCTGCTGCTTTTTCTTTAAATCTGCCTACGTTCCAGGCATTTCTGAGGATAACAAGAGAATAGTTATGTCTTTGCATTCTTTGAAGGAGGATACAATAGTGGAGAGAACTTGGTGATTTTTAAAAATAAAATAAAAGGTAAAACGGTCTCAGCCCTAGAGATGCCTGTCTCTCCATTTCCTTCCACGCCACCTCCTCACCTCCAAACAGAAGAATGAAGCAGGGCGTTGGAGGGTTATTGCCAGTTGATGTCTTGTTGGTTTTTGTTATTGTTGTTTGTTTGTTTTCAACAGCAGACATGGACCTTTTTAGCTACAAAACTCATGCTAGGGTGTGTTGTTAATTTCTTAGCTTGTTAAAGGCATAAGCTTCAGTCCCTTCCCTGTTGTTTATACAGAAGAAAAAGAGTTTTGCTGCCTAACCAATGCTTCTATTAGAAATGAAAGAGGTCGCTCATGTTTCTGCATTCTCCTTAATTTCCTCTACTGACCCTGGAAATCAATGAGAAAATAGAGTCAATTTGCGTCATCTTCAAGAGGTTTAGCCAATTGGCTGAGATGCTTTCCCCCACGTTTTAGGGCCACTGACAAGGTCAGCTGAAGAGAGGAGGAGGTTGGATGCGGAGAGGGTGGAGAGGTCAGAGAGGTCTATGTGTGAAGAATTTTCAGTGACGTGATCTGCCTCAAGGTTTATAGGTCTACAGTCCATTGTAATAAAGAAATGGGTCAGATTTTCTTCTCTATTCCTGGCTTTAGTGAATACGACTCGTTACCAGGAACTTCAGTCTTCACTTTTCACATTCTTTGTTTCTGTTTTAAGCTATGGCAT